TGTGTGTGTGTGTGTGTGTGTGTGGCCAGCTCAGCCCACCAGGGGGCGGGGCTGGCTGGCATGTGGTGCTGGGGATTGAACCGCGGTCCCTGTGCTTTGCGAAGCTTGTTCTAAGTAGGTGCTTTAGACCACTGAGCCATCTCACTAGGCCCCAGAGCTATTTCTTATTGGATACAATTCTGCCAACCCGTGAGGATTGTCAGAAATGAGAAGAGAGCCTTAAACTTGAAAAACAGGCAACATAGCACAGAAAAAAAAAAAAGAAAGAAAAACTTCGAACTCAAGAAAATGCAGGGCATATATGTAAACATTTTTAATTAGTGTATTCAGAAAACTGAAAGAAAACATTGTATCCAAAAAACAAGAGCAGAATACTGTAAAAAGCAATCAGAGAATAAAGAATTCTTAGAAAATAAATATGTTTATTGGGCTAAGGGTAGGCCTCAAGGGGAAAGTGCTTGCCTAGCATGTACATGATCCCAGGGTTAGTCCCCAGCACTGTAAAAAAAATTATCAAAGTTCAAATTCCAAGAGAAATTTTTATTTTTTTTTATGTATTTGGGACAGGGTCTACAGGGTTTCACTACATATATTGGACTCGTAGTGATTTTCCTGTTTTCAGCCTTCCAAGCACTGGATTATAGGTGTGTGCCACCACGCCCAGGCTCAATCACCATCTCAGTGCGCCCCAGGGGCTGGGCTGGCATAGCAGGCCTGGGATTGAACCCTGGCCGCTGTGCTCTGCCTAAGCAGGTGCTTTAGTCCACTGAGCTATCTGGCTGGCCCTCCAACAGAAATTTTTAAAAATAGAAATGAAGAAGCTACCCAGAAAATAGAGCAAAACAACAGAGACAAAGAAAAAAATACGAGAGCCGGGCTGGTGAGATAGCTCAGCGGACTAAGCACCTGCTTTGGCAGCACAGGGACCGAGAATCCATCCCCGGTCTGCATGCCCCACTGGCCCGCCCCCAGGGTGTGCTGAGCCGGGGACCAATTTCGGGCGACCAAGTTCAGGCGACTGTGTTCGGGCCTGGTGGCGCATTCCTATAATACCAGCACTGGGGAGGCTGAAAACGGGAGGATCACTGGGAGTCAGAGCTACGCAGTGAGACCCTGTACCAAATACATAAAATGAAAAAATATATATCTGAGAGAAAATGTAAGAACTTTCAGAGTTGATCTAGAAAGCCCAGCAAGCAACAATAATTTTTGCAAACTAAAACAGAGGAAAAAGAACAAGTGTTAGAATAGCAGTTGAGGGGCTGGGTATGACATAACGCAATGGCACAGCACTGCCTGGCAAGCTCAGGTCCTGAGTTCATTCCCTGTGCAAAAAACCAAACCAAAACAAAACAACAAAAACCCAGAATAGTAGTAGGTTTCATAACAACGTTGGATAATGAGAGATAAAAAGCAGTGGAGTTCTGAGAAATTGTGTTTTCAAGAGAAGAAGATGATAAGGTAATGATTTCAAATTCTTTTTTTCTTTCTTTCTTTTTTTTTTTTTTCAGAAACAGAGATTGAATTCAGGCCCTTGCTCTTGCCAGGGAAGTGCTTATTCCACTGAGCCATCTCCCCAGCCCCCTGTGATTTCAAATTCTAAGGAAAATGATTTTCAATATAGAATCCTATATATACCAGGCAAAACATTTACCAAGTTTGACAATGAAATAAAAGTAGTTTTAGGTATAGAAGAGCTAAATAAATGTACCTAGGAACTATGCTGTGATGGCTTGTGTCTAGATGTCCCTCTCAAAGGCTCATACATTCCTTGGTGGGGTTTTCAGATCTAGAATGTCAACCCCAATCTAGAGATTGGGATCAAGAGTAGTGGTACTAGATTACTCCACTGATTGCCTTGCAGTTCTGGATGTGGATAATGGGAAGGTCCTTCCCTAAGGGCATGTACCTGGATAGAATATAAGGGACAGAAAGAGGTGTGCTCTTGTCACTTTTCTTTTGTTGCTTGCAGGTTCCTCATTACTTTGCTGTTTTGCTGCCTTGTGCCCACCATAAGCTGTCTCTCTCCTTTGATGCCTTTCTGCCATGCCACCCTGACTTGGAGCCAGCCAACTATGGACTGAACCTCTGCAAATCATGAGCCTAATATAAACTCTTCCCCCTTTAACTTTGAGCGTCTGCTGCATCCAGCACATCTCTCAAAGTTCCCAGGAGGAAAGAGAGCAAGAGGATGGAGAAGTAAAGATAAAAGACAGAAAGCTCAGGTGAGGTGGAGTATTCTCTCCAGATGGGAAGAAATGAGCTGCTCAACCTCCACTGCTAGTGCATTATTTATACACTTGACTGGTTGATGTCACGTGACATCCCTTTGCCTAGCAACCCACTGCTTGAAATTTCCTGGAGTATCTGACATTCTCTGGACCGAAGCAGCATGTTCATTTGGCTTGCCTCGGGAGCTCTTTGTTCTCAGGACGAGTCTTGCTCCAGGCTCTGCATATGTGATCAATGTCCAGCTTCAGCCACTCCCTACATCTCCCCCTTTTCTGTTTTGTAAATGAAAGCAATGAGTGGTCAGTTGAAATTGAAGAAACTGTGTTTGCTCTTCTATAGCTAAAACTATTTTTATTCCATTGTCTAACTTGGTGGGTGTTTTGGCTGGTATAGGAGTTTATATTGAAAACTTTATTAGGCTCACAGTTTGCAGATTACTCCAATCTGAAGAAAATTGTTTTTCTTGTGGTTATGTTTTTCTGCTGGATGTTCAAGACCAAGTTAAAGTGAGACCTGTATTAATTAATTTTTGCTATCTATCAAGGCCACTTACATGTCCTCAGGATTTACCTTGGAACCATGGATAGCACCTCTTAATTCTGTCAGTGTCTGTTATCTGGATGAGTCACAGCCATCGCTTGACTAGGTTGCTTTCTGTGACAGCTGGGGAGATTTTCTTTTTCTCCAGGTGACTCTCCTTAGGCACACTATACAGCACTGATCACTTTCCTTTGTGGTCCCACAATCTCCTTCATCAGAAGACCAGGGATTCACTGAGTCATCGGAAGTCAGAGAAGAGGTTCTTTTATGTCCTGGGTCATCTTGACCTCAGAGCACTAGGGCTAAAACATTAGCTGTCCTCCTAGCCCATCTATTTTTCTAGTTTTTGGTTTCTCAACTTCAGTTGTTGACCATCCAGAAAAAAGGTTAATAACAAAAAAACAAAAAATGAAACAAAACAAAAAGGGCCAGGGAGATGGCTCAGTAGAATGAACACTTGCCTGGCAAGTGCAAGAGCCTGAGTTCAATCCCTGGTTCCGCAAAAAAAAAAAAAAAAAAAAAAAAAAAAAAAAAAAAAAAAGGTTAAAAGCATTACATTGTAATTTTATCTGAATATCAAGCACTTTGAGACACAAAGTAGAACCATTAGTTTTGGTTAACCATGGATGTTCTGTGAGTTGAATCTGTATAGAATGTTAACAGATAACACACACTTTTACATGTAAAATTTGAAACAAAAAGCCATACACAATATTATAGCATACAATCATGATGATGTTTTCTAGCATACTTAACTTTCCATTTTTTCAAATCTTTTATTTATTGGGTACAGGATATCATTAAACAGCTTGGACTACTAGTGATCCTCCTGTCTCAGTCTCCCCAGCACTGGGATTACAGGGGTGCGCCACCATGCCCTGTTTCACTGGCCAGCACAGCACATCCAGAGTTCCGGGGCCAGCATGGCATGTGGTACCAGAGATCAAACCCAGGTCCTTGAGCTTGCCAGGCACGTGCTTAAACTGCCAAGCTACTGCCAAAGCCCCCTTGTTATCCTTTAATGGGATGTACATCATATAAGTTTTTGTCAAAGGCAGATGTCTGAATTGAAAGAAAACTCTATCACTGTAAGCAGTCGTCATTGTGCACTCTGGAAGACCCGCACGCCTGCAGGCCTGAGTATATTCAATATGCTGAAACAATAGTAATAATAGCCACATACAAGCCCTTGTGCCAGAACATCCTTAAATCAAAACCTTATTGTCTAGAAAACTTAATCTTCTGATGATGACAAATGCAAACATCTTACAATAATATATTTTGATAACAATTGTTGGGGTATTTCTCACAAAGCTGTGGTGACCACTGGGACTTCCTGTTGATGAACAAAGGCTGAGGTTTTTACGAGGTAGCTGCTCCTTTATTCATCAAAGGGAATCTTGACCAATAACCTCTCCCCAGCCTAAAGGATTTTTGTTTAATTATATTTATTTATTTATTTATTTATTTATTTATTTATTTATTTTGTATGTGTGTGGCC